CCCCCCCCCCACCCCCCCCACCACCACCACCTTGAGTTAAGGTTAATATTATCTCCATGACCGGCATTTCTGTGACTAAAAGAGTTCCAAGTTGGTTGAATAGTTGAGGTTCTGCCTAAACTAGCCTGGATACCACCATCGCAAAAGAAAAAAGGTCCCAAGTTGGTCGGTGGTCCTTATTATACAAGTCAACGAGAAGACGTGATCTATAATTTGACATTTCTTCTCCTTGTTTCTTCATTTGATTGCTTTCTCCTGTTTTCTGTTCTTTTTCTCCTTAATGATGGTAATACTTTTGAGTTTCTTCCAGCATTTACTTGTGAAGTCTTGCTTTTTGAAGAATATGTCAACTTAATGCACACGTTTTTACAGATTGCAGAACATACAGTTTCTAGAATCCCCTCCTTGGCACATGAGAAGAATCATTATGAACAAAATGTATGGCTTCTTTGTTTTCTCTATGGTGCTTTTGATGCATTATTATTATTCTCAATAATTTTGTTGGAATACTAAATCTGCTGACTCTGTGATCCTCTAATAGATCACTGAAAGATGCATTAGACAGATGGGAAGGTCATTGCAAGATGTGGTAGCTGAATGGATTTTGAAGTTTGATAAGCGGGAGATAGGTAAATTGATTGTTGGAAACTTGAGAATCAGTTCCTTTTTTGTCCTGTCTTTGATATTAGTTATGGTTTATTCCTCTCTCCCTAAATGCATATATATATCTGTCAGCCTATAGTCGACTATTATTGTTTGACCCTCAAGTCCACCTCCCAGACAAAAAGTACCACCTCTAGTCTGGAATATCCAATAGGAGGTACAAACATTTTGAAAAATTGGCAGTCTGGAGAATTTTTCTCTTCATGGAAATAAATATATTCTTTGTTTTTTCAGCTTGTACTTCTCTTCATGGAAACAAGTATAGACACTTTTTTCAGAGTGTGTACCTACTACAAGTAGGATTGCTTCTGATTGGTGTAGTAATTAGAGCTTCTATGCGTCTTAGTCCTTGCTTCCTTTTTGTCCAGCTTATTATTCCAAATGACGTTATATATAGGAATTGAACTTTCTTCGTCCATTCCAAGAAACATTGTCACTTCCCTTTTTTTTAGGGGGAAGATCAATCATATTAAAACTTGTGAATAAGACTTTGTTTGACACACACTGTCTTCAGCAGCACAGTGGGCTATCAGGTATTGTGGAATAAATTTTCCCTTATTTCCTTTTGGTGAACCCATGAGGTTCCTTTATGTATAGAAGATTGGATGTCATTTGCAGAAAGTTGTGTTTTGTCACTTTCGTCATGAAGTTCTCTATCTTCTAGTGCACTCCTTGTCATTCAGGCATGTTTTTGCCATTTTCTTAAATGAAATTGATTACTTTATCAAAGGAAAGTATCTTGAAACCCGAAGTCAACTTGTAGCATTATCCACCTTGTTTCTAAATTTCTAAATCTTATTAGCTAGAGGAGAAATAATGTATTTTCCTTGTTCACCTAAATAAATGGGAAATTGAAGTTTTGAACAATCATACTGGATAGATGGCACACCATGTTCTCGATTAGAGTGATATAATAAATAGTGGAGGTGAAAACAATACATCAATTGGTTACAATTCGACCTATAAAAAAGGAAAAGTGGTTGCTACTTGTCATGTCTTTGATAGTCCTCGTTTGAAACCAACTTGAGCTTAGATTTTAATGTTAGTGAATCAGGAAAAAAGGCACTTGATTAGGTTTTTTAATATTGTCCTTAAATTGATTTTCCTGCTATTAATATGTGCTTCTGTTTTCTTCAGATCGCACAAGAATGCCATTGAATCATGCCGAGATGATAACTTCTTGTACTTCTACTTGTAGGTGAGTATGTTTCTTCTTGGAGATGTTGAATGCGAATATTGTATTCCTGGAAATTGTGTCATGTTGGACCTGATGGCTTCTGATTTGACTTTTGTGGCTACTTTTCCATGAAGTTAGGAAAATGCCTGTTATTCAATATAATTTTGAGCTTTCATTCAGTGAACCAATTCTTCTGGCTGATTATCATTGTCTCTATATGCAGCGAGTGCTATGACAAGTTAGTCTCATTCCTCTTGTATTGGTTCAGAGTTACACTGATAAGCCATGTAAGTTGCCACTGATCCTTGTTGATTCTTCAGTTATTTCCACTATTTCTTGTGGTTTTACTTAAAATGAAAAAGGAATATTTTATTAGAAGTTGAGTTTCCCTATAATATTATCATAAACTTTTATCTAGCATAGTATGCTAACTACTAGAAGTTGAGTATGATGAGTATGTTATCAAGTAGTTCATTATGGTTGGCATCTCATAATACCAACTATACTAAGTATCCATTTGGAATCACCTTAGTTACACATATCAACTTTAGACCTCATTATAATCCTTATATGAGTGAATAACCATGTTCATCACATATACATAAGGAGTCATACTATGACAACAATCCAATCAACATATATCATACCTTCATGTCTTACCATAGCATAATGAACCAACCACAATCCCTTTCAAAGTTTACTTGTGCAATATAGAAGTGAAGTCTCATACCCCACTCCTTTTTTTTTTAGAAGGTAACAACTTGTATTCTATTCCAAAACAAAAAACCAGAACCTGCCACAACAAATTACAGGTTCCTAATTACAATTGTGGAGAGTACCAGGAAGATGTTTAATTCTATAGCAAAATTTACAAGGAACCCAAAACATCTTTGACTGATTCTAGATCTACCATGTACTCCTATTTACACCAAAAAAGAAACAAAACTAAGCCGTTCATCTTAATTTTCTGGATGGAATTGCTCTTGTTTTGGAAGCATATGAGGTTTCTTTCTTTCTACATTGACCACCAAATGCAAGCCGAAATGATTTTTCATCTTTCTTTATGCCCGATAACGCTTGCATACCTGCTCCATAAGCGTAACTTTCTTAGGCATAACCCATTTCATGCCCTTCTGGTTGATAAAGACATTCCACAAAATGTTGGTTATTCTACAGTGAAGGAAGAGATGGTTGACAGTCTCTACTTCTTCTTCAATACATAGTAGGCACCTATGACTCAGTTGAATTTTTTTTTCATAAGATTTTCCTGGGTCAAAACTGCTTGCTTCAAGGAGCCCAGTCTAACACTAAAATTGTCACGATTGTGATCCTGCCATCTTGTGCATCAATAGTTCCTTGAACTGCCCCAAGACCTTGTAAAACTCCACCAACCTTTGGATCTCCCAGTCATTTAGAGGTCTTCTAAAGCTCAGACTCCACCCTTGGTTTGACCACATCTACTTATCAAGAATCACAAGTATAGTTCAAGTCATATTTGTTATCTTATCACATAGGGAGAAGTGCATTAACCGACATAGATCTGTGAGCTACATGGAATTTGGTGTCATATTGCCCCACACCGAAAAAAGGCATTCCACTTGCCTAAGGTAGAACTAGACATATTACTATAATATGGATCCACTAGCTAATACATATGCGGGCACATAGTTATGGGATAGGGAGATTGCTTCTAGAAACCTGGCCTATTGTACTAGCAAGAGAGTTCCATCTTATGAGAGCATATGTAGAAGACCTGGCCTAATACTAGCGGGAGAGTCTCTACCTCATTTGCTAGATCCACTCGGTGCTAAGCATTATTCTCCAACTTATACATAGTTAAAGTGAATTACAATTTCATATGTGAAGGAGTACATTACCCTTCGTTCAACCCAACTCATAACATAGCTCATTGATTAAACATGGTGAGGACTACCTTTCTCCTTAGAATCATCATATAATTATCCAAAGACAATTCATACGTAGTCATATGTAATAGTAACGGAACCTAGTCTTTCAACAATACCATAATTCACACAGTCATTGGATCTTCACCATTCAAGTGGAACATAACTCCATACATAAATACATGAAATCCACCTTTCAAGTGGATCAACCATTCATATATAAGAATCTTAAATATAGAGTACCTTTATAGATTGCGTTCAAGGTTATACTTCAAGATTCAACACTTACAATTTACCCTTCAAGGGTCATAGATCATATCTTGCAATCACACTTAGAATTACTACTTTAAGCATGATAAAACAAGACTAATTAACTAAAGTAACATAGATACAATTCTCAGCATTCATATTGCATCAACAAACCCATCACAATTTCATAAAATTTGGGTCATGGGAAGCACATGGGTTCATGGGGAATCCATCATAAAAGTTATCATTAAACATCAAATCATCCATAATATAAAGCTATTAACTCATAGAAATTCGTTCTAGGAAGAACCCATGACTAGATTTAAAACCATTGTTTTTGAACAATTATCCAATTTTCGAAACTTAGAGTTGGAGGGCTTCATGGAGAAAGAAATTCCATGAAGGAAGGTTCCCATACCATAATTGATGTTTTTCCACGAAATTGGAGTGAAAAATCTTGGTGCTTGAACCCTAATTTTCAAGCTAATTGGTGTTCTTCAATGGAGGAACTTGTAGAGAGAAATATTGGAGAAGAGATGAACTTTTTATTTTGAAGTGTGTTTGGTGAAAGTGATTTATTTTGGGGATATATTAATATAAAATTCCATATATAGTGATTTAGAAATAATATAAAATATATTCACTTCTTAATTTAACTTAAAAATAATATTTACGAAAATGTCCTTGCACATAAAGACGTAGCCAAAAGAACTAAGAAATGTTTAAGGAAGCATTTAAGGTCCTTGAAGTGGTCCACTAGCCTTCCACCATCCCTTGGACTTTGCGTTTTGCTTTTTAAAGCTAAGGTATATCCATTGGAGTATTCAAATGGACCTATTTATACCAAAAATATATTTATTTAAACATAATATAGATTATTCCTATTTAATTTAAGACTAAAAAGAAAATTATGATTTCTACCCCTCTTTAAGCCTCTGGATTGCCCAAATAAAACTAAGGCAATTACCAAGGGAGCTTTTAAGGCACTTAGAAGGGTGTACAAGCCGTGAATCTTCCCTTAGACTTTGCATTTGACTTTTTAAAGCTAAGGCATAAGTCTACAAGGGAGTACATGCCATGTTCCCCCTTCACTTGAGCACACGTGCACTGCCTAGTGTTCAGGCAGCTCCTACACGCATAGTGCGCCCCCCCTCCACTTGCACACGTGCACCACCTAGTTTACTAAGGCAGACCTCACGCATGGTAGTCCATGTATAGTGGGGTTCACGTGCAGTGAAGTCCACCTTGGTCCTTGCATCCTCATGTAGACTTCGCTAAAAATACTAAGACATTAGTTCAAGGAAGCTTCTAAGCGCGGTGAAGGCTTTTACCTTCCTTGAACCTCTCTTTAAAATGTACTTGGTCAAAATTGGCTTATATAAGGGATGAGTTGTCTATTGTACTTCGTGAGAAGAATATGTTAGCATGCTTAGTTTTGAGTTAAGAGAGTCCATGAATAAAATTCTTTTTGGGAGTAAAGTGCATATGAGCTCCATGAGAGTACGTTGAGAATGTTATGACTAGGAGATGGTAGTTCCTCCTTGAACAAGAATAGTTATGAGAAGTTCATGCATATTGGATTGATAGATGTAGTTCCTACTTTCTTTGTTGCATTGACTATATTAAAAGGGAGTTAATGTTTCTTCTTTTATGTGATGTATTATTTTGGATATTTTATATTTGTTGGGCTGCTAGTCTTGAGTCTTTAAATTCCTTAAGGTGTCTACATCGTCATTCGAGGACGAACGTTCCCAAGGGGGAGATAATGTAACACCCGAAAAGTTGATAAGTGAAACTAGAGTCTAACCTATGAACCTTATAAGTTTATATATAAATTGGAGTTGAAATATGTCTAAAAATATGACTAAGTATATTTTCAAGAGAGGATTCAAGGAAGGTAAAAGGCTTCACCTTCCTTAAAAACTTCGTTGAATCAATGCCTTTAGCCAATTTTGCCAAAAGAGGAAGAAGTCCACGTGAGGATGCAAGGACCAAGGTTGACCCCACTGCACATGAACCACCATGCGTGGGGGCTACCTTAGTACACTAGGCAGTGCACTTGTGCAAGTGAGGGTGGGGGGACCACCATGCGTGTGGGGGCTGCCTTAACACTAAGCAGTACACGTGTGCTCAAGTGAAGGGGGGCCGGGAACCATTGTCATGTACTCCTTTGTACACTTATGCCTTAGCTTTAAATTGTCAAAGGCAAAGTCTAAGGAAGGATTCACGACTTGTAGAACCTTCTAAGGGCCTTAAAATCTCCCTTGGTAATTGCCTTAGTTTTATTTGGGCAATCCAAGGGAGGCTTAAAGAGGGGTAGAATCGTAATTTCTTTTTTAGTCTAAATTAAATAGAAATAATTTATATTATGTTCAAATAAATATATATTTGGTATTAATAGGTAATTTGAATACTCCAATGGATATTGCCTTAGCTTTTTAAAAAGCTTAAGGCAAGTCCAAGGGAGGGTTTAAGGAAGGCACAACAATTCAAGGACCTTGAATGCTTCCTTACACCTTTACTTATTTTTTTTTTGGCTCTAAGTCTTTGTGTGCAAGGACGTTTTCGTAAATAATATTTTTAAGTCAAATTAAGAAGTGTATTTTATATTATTTCTAAATAACCATATAAAGGATTTTATATTAAAATATCCCCAAAATAAGTCACTTTCACAAACACCCACTTCAAAACAAAAAGTTCATCTCTCTCCAATATTTCTCTGCTAGAGTGAAGAACACCAAGAACTTGAAGATTAGGGTTCAAGCTCCAAGATTTTTTCACTCCAATTTAGTGGAAAAACATCAATTAAGTTATGGGAACCTTCATTCATGGAGAGAACCCTTCAACTCTAAGTTTCGAGATTGGGTAAATGTTAAAGAACAAGGGTTCTACATCTAACCATGGGATCTTCCTAACTTCTATGAGTTAATTGTTTTATAATAGGGATGATTTGATGTTTAATGGTGATTTTTATGATAGATTTCCCATGTGCTTCCTCATGACCTCAATTTTATGAAATTGTGATGGGTTTATTGATGCAATATGTATGTTTAGAATTGTATCTATGTTAATTTAGTCAAGTAGTCTTGTTTTATTCATGCTTAAAATAGTAATTCTAAATGTGATTGCAAGATTTGATTAAATTGTAAGGGTTGAATCTTGAAGTATAGCCTTGAAAGCAATGTATTAAGGTACTCTATATTTAAGATTCTTATATGTTCTTACTTTTCATATATATATATTGCAGATCACAAACTCCCGCCCCATAAAACAATTCCCTCAGTTCCATTTTATATGGCTCTTTCCATTTTTAGTCTGTTAATAGAGTACATTTGTTCCATTTGGTTACTCTTTAACTATTAACTTCTCATGTTATTATTAATGACATGCGCTTATAGTTATAGATATATTTAAGATCACAAGTTATGAGCAATGGTGAGTTAGGCTTTTAGTAATTGGTTTAGGTTAAACCTACTAGCTCTGATCTGAGCCTTGTATTGTTTCATTGAATATATACAATTTATATAATTTAAAAACCCAGCCACTTAAAGAGGATTAGAATTTTGAACCTCTAAGCTTAAAATCTTGGTCCCGCATATGGTTCCAAGGGTAAATTCAGAAGTCCCCTTTTCTTTGTTAAAAGTTCATGTCCAATTAAAAATAATTATGTAAAATGAAACGGAGGAAGGTATCTTGTAAATCTTGAACATTGTATCTGTATCGTAATTTCTTTTGTTTTTGGTGTCAGCATTTAGCTCCAGAGGATGCTCAAAGGCAAGACTGTTGGTATGGATATGCTTGTCGTACACAACACCATAACCAAGAACATGCTCGGAAGAGAAATCATGTCTGCCAGCCGACGAGGGGTAGTCATGTCTAGAAAATTCTGCTTCTGGGAACGAACTCCATTCTGTTTTTGTGATTTTCATATATGATCAACTATAAACATCTAGCTGTTTTTCTTTTCTTTTACTGTTCATATGTTCCTTTTTCGAGTTCATAAATTGGTAAAAGTAAAATAACTTGGCAGACATGCTTGATGAGTTTCAAAGCTCTTGTTTATGCATCTATAGCTGATAAAAGACGCAAGAATTGCTACGCCTTATAGCACTAGAACGTGTCTAATAATAAATTATAAAATATTTAGATCTTATAGCAGTAAAACGTGTCTTAAAGTAATGAATTAGAAAACATTTTGCGAACTGACTTTGGAAACAGGTCGAACCATAAGAAGGGATGTTTATTTGATGGAATGTCCTATCCGGAATGAATTTTAAATTGTTAATTTAAAGATAACTTACTCCGAACAAAACGAAATGTTTATTTGATGAAATGTCCTATCCAGAATAAATTTTAAATTGTTAATTTGAAGATAACTTACTCCGAACAAAACGAAATAACCCCGTGAAATTACGTTACATTCATTGCAATCTCTGTGTAGTTGTATTCATTATTAGTTGGGAAATTACAAAAATAAATAAAAAGAAGAGGAGAAAATTTAATAAAGCATTTCAACAGAATCCCTCCTTGTTATTGGTTTACAAAGATTCAGCAACTCTTTGACAACTTCATCTATTTCCTCGTCTCCATTACCCTTCATTATCTCACTATACTCTCTCGCTTTTTTTCTCAATCTTTGCCCACTTTTCTCTGCCACCACTTCCCTTACAACCTTTGCCACTTGATGCTCATCAATATTTCCATCTTTGTCCCTAACCACCTCTTCCCCTACCCCAGCATCAACTATCAACTTTGCATTTAATGGTTGATCAAGGTGCATTGGCATTCCTATTATTGGAACACCAAGTTTAAGTCCTTCCATTACCGAACTCCATCCACAATGACTCACGAATCCTCCTATACTCCAATGGCTTAATATTGTTAACTGTGGTGCCCATCCTTGTACTATTTTTCCTCTGTTTCCAACTCTTTCTAGAAAACCCTTTGGAAGAGCTTCTTCAAGGTTCCTATTTTGTCCAACTGGGAATCTAATTACCCACAAGAAATTCACCTTGCTAAGCTCTAGACCAAGAGCTACTACTTCTGTTTCTTCCTTGGATAGGAAATATTCAGTCCCAAATGAAGCGAATACTGTGGAGCATCTTGTTTTACTGTTTAGCCACTCCATGATCTCTGAATGCTCATCCTCTGTTTCTGGTGCTCTAACAAGAGGTCCAACTGGAACATACCTGCAAGTATCGATAGTAATTGAAAACGGATTCAAATAAAAATTAATCCGTAATCGGTTGTGTGCGCACTCAAAAAATCTAACTTTTATCAAGGGATAAGAGTAATTCATCACATCCATGTAAATGAAAGTTTAGGTTAAAATTCGAACATACCTCTTATTTTGTATATTAGAGAGATAATCAATGTATTTTCCTTCTAATTGTCTAATAGACTTGATCAATATGATTTGAGATGATCCATCTATGCATCCATTGACTCTTCTCTGAGTATCTGTAAATCCATCATTACCCTCATCCTCTTCAGTTGGTTCAAACATATGTCTATTCCTCCCATACTCATAATCTCTTAGATAAATAGATGGAAAAGGGTATTCACAAACAGTTTTTTTTTACCAATATGAAATAGATAAGAACATGCAGCAGCACCAGGGGTTAAAAACAAAACAGAAGGTATATTCAATGAAGCAGCCAAAGTTGGAACCCATGGTTGAAGAAAATCATAAATAACTAAATCTGGTTTCAAAGTAGTAAGTATATGGTAAAAACTAGGTTGAGCCATGTCCATTGCATTTTTAAGAGTTGACATGAGATGAGGTGGAAGTCCATTAGTTGTGTGGTAGTGTGGAGGAAGGTTTGGTAAATTTGGAAGATGAATTTCAACTATTTTTATTGAAATTGAGTGTTTTTCAGATATTGTTTGTTTGAATGAATTGATATTGACTTGTGTGGAACATATGTAGATGTAGAAATTTCTATTTGAAAGTGCTTTGGCTAGCTCTATAAAAGGTGTTATGTGACCATGAGCTAGCCATGGTAACATTGCTATTCTAATGCTTCTATGTCTTGTATCCATTACTTGCAAAGGTTTTTAATCACAAAAAGGGAGAAATGAAATTATTACACCATGAACAGTAGTAATAATTTGTTTGTATGATTTAGGATATGTATATATTCATTTTAAACAAGATATATACTCCCACCACCTCTTTTCCGCTTCATATATTTATTAAGTCATAAAACAGAAACGATACATTTTTTTTATATTAAATATTCTCTCCATATCATTTTTCGTTGAATTTCAAAATTAAATTTATTTTTGATAGTAAGCTTTTTATAGTTTCTTTTAAATAATTTAAATTGATGACGTTCAATATTTTTTACGTAATTTATAAATATAAATATTTTTATTTTAAAAAATTAATTGAAAAATTTATTTATAAGTTTTAAGTTTGACTCTCAAAAAATAAAAATGTCATATAAATCAAAATAAATGGAGTTATAATTTAATTTTAAATTGACTGAAATGAATTATAATTAATAAAAATAACATTATTTTTTCTTTAAAAAGAATCTTAAATTTCAAATAGGATTAAACTAACTGTATAAAGTGAAATGGGATAACTTTGTTTTAAGCTTTATCTTGTTGAGGTACTGAGCAATAAAACTGGTATAACGTGGAAGCAAAAGGGAAAGACAAGAAAACGTGTCACAAGGGAAGGGTATACAGATGAGAGCAGCAGACCAGAAATGATTCAAGTTGTGATACATTCCCGTTTGGTCGTAAATTTTCCAAATAATATTTGGGAAAACTTTGGCAAATAATGTTTGTCTATACAATTTGTCATTATTTGACAAATATTTTTGGCAAATATCCCAAATTTTCAAATACTAATTTTTTTAATATTTGGGCCAAATTTCATTATTTGAGATATTTTAAAAATTAAAGTTTTACCCCAATCTTTTATGTTTTACAAAAACACACTCTCTAGTGGTTGTTTGCGTTGTATTACATAATTTTTTACAAAAACACTCTCACTCCAAATTATCACATTGCTTTAGTGTCATGGACACTATTTGTTATAGTTGTAACGAACATTCAATTGACTTGTAATACAAACTTTTAGTTAGTTTTGATAGTTTTTAAAACTTGTGTGTATAAATCATATTTTTCTAAAAAGGTAAAATATATTTTCCAAATTTTATGGCCAAACACATAGTGAAATTTCACCCAAATTTTTACTCAAATAATATTTACCAAAAATATTTAGAAATTTATGACCAAACACTAGCTAAAAGAAATGACGATTTCTCCATTATTTTTCTTTTCATACATTTACGAGATATTTTGAATATTTACATACTTTTATTTTAATATTTGTTTTAACTTTATGTTAAATTATATCAGGTAAATAAATTCAAATATAAAAAACCATTTTTTATTAATTATTCTCTCTCTAATATATTGTTTCATTATGTTACTTTTTTTTAATCATCCCAAAATAATTAGTACATTCAACGCAAACTTTAAAAGTTTAATTTATGCTTGAATAATTTATTATTAAATAGATATTTATAATTTATTTTAAATTATAAATTTTTATATTTTTTTAATATTTTATGTCAAACTAAATTAACTCATATAGATTAAAATATTGAGGAGGGTAGTCTTTGTTGCAGACATCTTTTATGGCAAAAAAAATATAATACATAAATATGTTATTTAACTTGATTTCATTTTATATTTATGTTATTTTACTTTGGATATGTACAAGTAGACACTTTAACTTGCATAGAGTTAAACAAATAAACACATGAGTCTTGCATGACATAATATAGATAGGACGTCATTTAATAAAAATAGTATAACTTACCTAAACCCCATAGTGTAATGATGTAAATTACATTCTATCCATACTATTTTTCAATTCACAAAAATTCCTCAAAATAAGTGTTATCCAAATACATAGCAAACAGTAAGATACATATTTCGATACCATTAAACAAATTCAGTTACACTTCTAAAGGAAAGGGAATCCATTTTGAATGTGACTTCTCCAGATCATGCTAATCAATTTGATGTCAATCTCTTCGAAATGGTAACAACTTAATCAATTTAAAATTCAAATTTTCTTTCATCAATTCTCTTCTAAATATTCAGTCAGATGCAAATCCTTCCAGAATTAACAAATTCATAATTCATTTTTTTCTTTCTATTCATCGTCTCATGTTTATCAAATAATCATTCAAATTTATCAAAAAATTGATAAGATACATAATGAACAGTAGTTGAACAAATAATTTCGTGTGAATCTCAAATTCACCATTGTAGTATATCGATGAGATGAGGAAGAACTTGAAAATCCGATATATAGCAGAAGGAAATCATAGGAAAATGTTGATTATGTTGTTTGGCCTCCTCTACATCTCATCTCGATCGTGGGCACCATAGTAGGAGATGATCAAAGAAGCTACTGTCCATTTGAATTTGTATTTCATAATATATTAAAATCTAGTTAATGTATCCCAAAATTCTTCTTCTGATTTTTTCTAAAAAAAATCTCAATTTTTTGAATCAAACTTGTTGATAAATTGTACTGATACAACTTGAACATATCGATCTTGTTGAGGCATTTCAAAATATGAGAAAGTGAGGTGAGGTATGAACGATACAAAAGTGATGAAATTGTTGTTGGTGAAAATATTAATTTGTGAATCTCAAATCAACCATTGCAGTTGAATTAAAGATCGATAAGTTGTTGAAAAATTTGGAGATCTAAGACACTGTTGAGGTGAAGAAACAAGAGTTGAGATTTTCAATGTATTCCTTATGCATTGATACAACAAACACAAATGCTAAAGAGATGCATAGTTTTGATAGATCATTCATACCTTCTGTAATGTTGCATAATTCTTTTTTTGAATTTTGTTTTTGATATGGATAGATTTATAAATACATTACTATTTATATATCTCGTTTAAATTGATAAGTTTTGTATTTCTATTAGATACATTAAATAAGTAATTGTTGTCCATATAAATGTTAGGTTTGAGATTGATACATTACTTTGTGATAGTTTCTACG